TCGGCAGCCCTGGTAAACCTCATTCCACGAGGAATAACGGGGCTGCCGACAAAGGGCTTTGATGTCAGCAGGGGAGCGTCCAGACTAGCGCGCGAGCTGACAAACAGCTGATTAGCTGTTTGTTGGCTCAGCGCAGCAGCCATGTAAATGTAAATGAAGCCGCGATCATTTAAATCGCGGCTTCATTTGCCTTTGCCTATGTGTCTAATCTACATGCCTCTGCCGACAGAGGCATGTAGTCTAGACACAGCACTAATGTCCTTCTTTGACAGTGTTACTGGCCTAACGGATGGAGGGACACAGTAAATGTGATGCATCTGGAAATCAGCGGGCTTCTGACACAGTTCCCGGGACTTTCTCATAAACTGGGGGAAATGAGATCTGGATACATTACTGAACGGTGAGTGCACAACTGGTGGGAAGGATAAAAAACAACACTCCACACTCAGAGCAGTTCTCAATGGCAGGCTGTCCGACCGGGAAGAGGTATCTAGTGGGGGGCTAGTGCTTTTTAATATTTTCATGAATGACTCGGATAATGGAGTGGAGAGCAGGCCGATTTTAGAGGAGACTCCCTCCTGGACTGGTGTCCTCACTTTGGCGGGCAGGATTAGAATTCGACGTGACCGTGACAAATTGCAGCCCCGATCAGAAATCAGTGAGGTGACATTCAGTGACGAGCCTAATGCAGCATGTGCGAAGGCAAAATCAAAGGAAGTGGTAAAAACAAACTGCAGACAACGGAAGAGACAAGAACCACACCAATTTCCCTCTGCTGGTTTTAGAGAACGCTTCTGAGTATCAGCCCACAGAGAAGGTTACTACTAAAACTAGTGTTTTAGGAATTCTTTTAACGGTCAATTTAATTTTTGCCGCAGTTTTTTTTTTTAAACCAGGGTAGTACTGCAGAAAAAGATCCGGTAATTGCAGTGGATCACAAATGGACTACAAATCAGCAACATGATGTTGTAAAAAAGGCGATGATCATTGTGGGGTGTATTAACAGGAGAATCAACAGTCTGGAGGCAACTGTCTCCCTTTACTCCCCACCATGAGACTTCGGGGGATACCCCTCTCAAGCTCTGGGCATCATACTTGAGGAAAGAGGTGGTTAAATGGAGAGAGCCCAGAGAAGAGCAATAAAAATGATCCAAGGTTTAGAAAACCTGCCCTATGAGAAATGTTCAAAAACCAGGCATGTTTAGTCTTGAGAAAGGAAGAACAAGGGGGATATGGTAAGTCTTGAAATATATATTACGGACTGTTATAAAATACAGGAGCATGTAGCACTTTCAAGACTAACAAGATGGTTTATTAGATGATGAGCTTTCGTGGGCCAGACCCACTTCCTCAGATCAGGCATACAGTGATCAGTGGTTCTCTATGTCCACTGAAGGTGGAACAAGAAACAATTGGCTGAATCTACAGCAAGGGAGATTTACATTGAATAGTATGAAAAACTTTCTAACTCCAAGGGCGGTTAATCTCTGGAACAGGCATCCACTGGAGGGTTTTTAAGCACAGGTTGGATAAACACCTGTCAGAAAAGATCTAGGTTCATGGTCCTATCTCAGTTCATGGCTGGATTAGATGACCTCCCACGTCTCTTCCAGCTCAACATTTCTACAATTTTATCCCTCTTAAGGGGTCATCTCTCAGAGTGCATCTACACAGCATCCTAAACGCGAAATAAGAGATGCAATTTGCACTATGCAAATTGCGCATCTCATTTCGATTGAATTTCGAAATAGCGTATTTTGAAATGTGGTGCTTCTACACAGTGACAAATTTCAAAGGAATACAATATTTCGAGACATCCCTTGTGGAATGAGGGTTCCCGGGATGCCGAAATAGCTCTTGAAATAGCAGGCACGTTCAAATGACACGGGGTAGCTATTTCAGGATACTTCCGGTTTCCCGAAATAGCCCCGCTGTGCAGACGGACCCGCACAGAGCAGACGGGGGGGGGAGGGGGGGAGGAAAGCAGATAACCTGATGACTTCCTACATGGTGTCTACACAATAGATCTCTCACCGGCGGCTATAGCGCCCTTTCCCTTCCCAGGGGCACCCCTCTTGGAGAGAGGAGGTTGGCTTTCTCTCCAGCATGGGGGGTGGATCTAAGATGGAACCATTTGCTCAGTTTCTTACTTACTTTTCGATAGCAGACACGTATTTGGTCTCAAAGTGTCCCGTGATGAGCAAGTCCGGGGTAAGCCTCCCGCCAAACAAGAGCTCTTCCTTGGCCATCTTCACCAGGACGAGTCTGACCAGCTCCCCCATGTACATGCCACTGATCATCTTCTCAAACCTGCGGAGAAATGAAGCACGAGGTCTCCAGGCCGCTCCACGCTGTCGCGTTCAGAGGCCAACGGCTAGGGCCGAAACGTGCCACAAGATGTACGGGAACTGCCCGTGCCCAGCTGCATTCTACACTGGTGGCGGGTGAGCTCACAAAATCTCAGCGCGCCCCCCGCTGAGATAGCCAACGTCTGTACCAAGGCCTCGGCCATGTCAGGACTCGAGTTAGTTTGCAGGAAAGAAGAGTCGCTCTTGAACGCGTGGTCCTGCAATCTGCCCATTTAAAGAATCATGAACGACAGTGAGAGACCCTGATTCTCTCTCATACACCAGCTCACTGCAGAAACAACCAGATTTTGCTTAAAACCATGGAAGACAATCATTAGAAGAGAGGGGCTCTCGTCTGGAAAAATATCTGCGTTTCGTAGGGGTGACGAGCTTATAAGCCTCCCAGGAGCTTTGCATTAGCCCCATGGAGCCCACAAATTCAGCAAGAATCCCCGAGGCAGGATTTTCAGCAAAGTTTTGCTGGCGTCGCTCTACCTGCCTACACTGCCAGCCCAGCACCCCAGTGCAGAGGCTACTTAGATTAGTACAATCGGCGCTGTAACAAGCCGGCCTCCCCACCCAAGGCCCACCCAAGGGCAACCTGAGCACAGCCCCCCCCAGCCATGTCAGCCAGGGATCACGTTTCTTCTGCACCCTTGAGCAACAAGCTGTGCCGGCAGGCGCTTGTAGCGTAAACACGGCCTGAGAGTAGTTTTCACAAGCGCTATGCCCCATTGAAAATCAGTGGGCTTGGGGTTTTGAATCACTCATGCTGCACGTCTGTGCTAGAGAAGCACTGCTATGGAGGGGTGGTACCCTAGCAGAGATGCCTTCTACAGCCATGGGAGAAGTGTTCCCATGACTGGACGTAAATCACCGAGTAGCAGGAGCGAACCAGTGGAGCACTCTGCCATTGACCGTGCCACGAGGGTTCAGTGCCCTCACCACGCCAGCCTAGAGTGGTGAACTTTTCGACTCCCCGAGAGACGCAGCTAGGGGAGTCGAAGTTTTAAGTGTAGACCAGACGTTGGACACTTTTCAGTCCATCACCCTACAACTCTGGGGACATGACCAATCATCACGTACCCCAGAGTTTGGGTTCAATCGCAGCGATATCCAGACAACAACAAGCACAGGCTTGGTAGAGAATTTTGGACTTAAAACAAATAGAAACACTGGGGGAGATTTTCCAAGACGCACAAGGGAGTTAAGTGCCTACCCAGCCTTGGAAATATACCCTACTTCTCCTATTTTATCCTGCAGTGGATGAGTTTGCACCGTCTGCAGGACTGAGTCCATCTCGAACTAAAAATCCATCTCCACAGGAGAAGTTCGGTGTTTGTTGGTTTCATGGATGGTAGGGACACTAGGTGGCGCTGTCTGCCTTCGGGCAGCGATGGAGACATTAAATGAGAAACCGGAAGTCGCTGTCCCTCTATTCATTAGCAGATGAAGCAAAGTAGGGGGAGAGGATCAGGGTGCTCTTGAGGGTTCCGTCAGAAATGCCACCCCAAATTTGTGGCACAGTCCCCGTTTGTATTCATCTAATCTACGTCCCCAGGGGCCCTGTAACGCAGGTAGCTTACATGACCTCTTCCTCACACCAAAACAATCACAATAGGACAGCCAATCCACCACCACACACACACACAGATCTGAGCCAACACCAGCAATCTGCTTACAGCTGCTTCCCCGGGTTGAGTGAACCCATGTCAATCTCACGGTCGAACTCCGTCCTGATGTCGTTCAGCGTGCCGTCGTCTCCGAAGGCGCCCCACTCCATGTTTATGCACATCCGCCCTTCGTCCCCCTCCACCAAGTCAATGTGCCGCATCTCCTCCATGTAGCACGCATTGGTCCCAGTACCTGTGCCAAGCAGATTGTGAGCTAGCTCCCTGGGAGAGCAGGAGGTAAGGACTTTATTGCTGCTTAGAGTTGCAACCCATCCCGTAAGTGTGGCCTAAAGCCCTTGTTCTTACACTAGGCCATACTGAAATGCAGCTTGTTTGCCTGAGCCCACCTCACCACTTGCTCTGGATCAGAGCCTTGGCCTTTTCATTATTTACTCCTCCCCCATTCTTTGGGGTCCTGCACATTTTGTCGGCGGCTTTATGTTCTCTTCCAGGTCATTGATAAAAATGTCACCTTGCGAAGGAACAGTGGCGGATGCTACAGGACCAGAGTAAAACCACGCAGCGGCGAGTCCCCATTTACAGTTCTATTTTGAGATCTGTCCGAGAAGCTGATTTTGAACGCATGCTGCATGTTCATTTGGGACCGTCCTAGCACCTTATCCAAAATGTTGCATGGTCCCAAGTCAAACAGCTGACAAGTCTCCGAATATCACACCTTTGCGATTCCTTTCCACAGACAAGCTTGTAACGGCCACAAAACGATGCCAAATGAACTGGGCGGGGTCTATTTCCCGTTAACCGTTCCGCGGCGTCTTACCAACAATGAGCCCAACTTCGCAATTGTGATCATCGAAGCCGCAGGTCATCATTGTCCCTACGGTGTCGTTCACCACAGCGACCACGTCAATGTCGAAGTCCTGAAACAGGCGAAGAGGAGAGACATCAAGTCCCAGACGTAACGTTTGACCAAACCATCCCGTTGTCCCATTGAGTGTGGCAGTGGGGGAACCATTGCAGTAGCAGCCAGGAAGAGCAGAGCCAAGACCAAGATTTGGGATCCGTGCCCAAAACATTCAGCCTCACTCGGGCCAGGAGTGTCAGCTGTGACTAATTATTTCGGCTCCCTCGATTTCTCAGCACTCAGCTGAAGGCACCATGAAGGGGCAGATGTTCCCAGGGCAGGTTCCCAGTGCTTATCAGGTCCCTTCTTAACACAAGGTCACCATGTGAAATCACTGCTCCTTTTGAAAGCCGCAGCTCAAGTGGGAGCTGAAGGTTCATCAGCACCGATTCAGCGAAGGCAGAACATCAGGAGCCTACCTATTATCAGTAAAAACGGCCCCTTTTCTAGTGCTCTTCGATGTTAAAACCCCGCACAAACATTCACCAAGGATCGCAGTGCTCACTTCTGAAGGGTAGCTAAGCAGCCACATTACTGATGGATTTATCTACACTTCTATTAGCCACCCCTCCCTGGCTCAGGGAGTTTTTAGAAGACTAAAAGTTATGATACAAGAAGGAAAACTTTCAACACAGGCAATAAACTGTACAGACAATGTTCTCCGGCTCACGGAAGTAACTTCACATGTAGCCAGCCCACAGCCCTCTCCTGCCCCCAAATTTAGGAGGAATCCATGTTGACGGGTGTTGTGTTAATAAATCTAGACGCCAGCACTTCCAGACTAAGAAATCCAGGCTCTTGCAATGGGAGCCATTTTCGAAATGGCAACCCCTCCGGAAAGGCACCTGGCCAGGGCACTTCCAGACTAAGAAATCCAGGCTCTTGCAATGGGAGCCATTTTGGAAACGGCAACCCCTCCGGAAAGGCATCTGGCCAACAGCCAGCGTTGCCTGCAAGTCGAATGCCTGGGCGGCCACCCAGAAGAAATTCAGAGACCGCTCAGCTGATTAGCAGAGCGCCCACAGCCGGAAGCATGTGTTTCTACTGGTGGTGCACATCCACACATGCCTTGGTGCACAACACAAAATTGATTCTGCACGTGGATGGAAAAAAGTAGAAGGAACACTGACGACAGCCCAACTTTCTGTTTCAGTCACGGAGCTGTGTACGAGATAGAGAGGCATAGCCAGAGCTCAAGCCGTTTAGGGCTTTACAGGAAAAGATGGGGACATGGAGACAGAAGTTACTACATTTGCTTTTCTCCCTATCTTCAGCCCTTCTGAATGTCAGAACCACCTTGCCATCGGCAGGCACACCAACAATGTGCAATTCAGAGCAGAGTGTGAATTCAGCACTCACATAATAACCCGCCTGCACTCACTTTCACAGCCTGTTGGTAAGAGAACAATGTGAGCAGAGAGCATGGGGTGACCATGAGAAACACAATGTTTGTTGTAATCTTAAATCAAGAGGGTGGAGGGTGAACCTGATAAAAAAAAGGAAGAGGAAGTGGGGTGTTTTGGTTATTATCAAAGGAGCACACTGTTCTTGCATGTGTGTCCAGCTGAAGAGTGCCTCTATAGGACTGCCAAACCGACTGTCTGGGGGCGGAAGCCAAGTACAGGCTTTTAGTGCTTTGGCATCCTGAGGGACCCCCGTCTGTGCATGCACCTTGAAATACAAAACCTCCCTCCTGTGTGCAGGGCAGTCCCTGGCCTTTGATTGGAAAACTAAAAGGCCAGGATTTACAGGCGTTCTCTCTGTCCCGTTGCAAAGCCAAATCGAGTGCCCGGAGCAGCTTATTCACAACAGCCAGGGGGTTCGGAGCACGGGTAACGCTTACCCCTCGTTTCTTGATGGCTTTACGTATCATGCCGACCACATCTTTCCCCTCCACACCGCTGGATTTGAACCCTTTCGTCCACGTCACGAGGATACTCTAGGACAAGAAATAAGAACCACGTTAAGACACCACCGTTGTCAACCAACTCTAAGGCAGTAATGCTACCCTGAGGATTCTCGCCAAAAACTCCTCCCCCTGCAGCGTAGATCAGCCACACCGACATAAGACAGGGCCCTCCATTGATGCAACTTCCTGCTGTATGTACATTCCTGCGTTTGGTCGCAACACGGTCCCGTGTCTTTGTAACTACACCCACGTGCTTAAACTAGCAAGAATTCCTTAGGCCAAATCTGCACCTTAACCTTACACCCGTGTAACTGTGCTGCTCAGGCATGCGAAAAGTCCACGGCCCGGAGAGACACAGTTAGACAGGCATAACCTCTGGGGTATTTTAATGGGACAGCCTCTCCTGCCGACACCGCTACTGCCTCTCGGGGCAGTGGCTAAACTGCGATTCTCTCCCGCCAGCTGCAGCGTTTGAAGGGTCGACCTGCCCTGAGTCTCAACGAGCCCCACGTCTCTGGAAATGCCACCAAAGTAAGGGTGCGGTCGAGCTTGCCGTTTACTTCCTCCATAGGGTAGAGCACAGGGCGACGCTGCCCAAATTCTACAGAGTCAAGTTTAGGAGGCTCCGTCCCGAAGAGCCCAAGGCACCATAGTACTTAAAAACAGCCTGAAGTTTTCTGTAAAGATCTAATAATCTGCCACGAGCAGAGAGGGTGTGTTGCACCTGGGACTTCACGAGGGTGACTTGGCTGACGGGAATATTGTTACTAACAGGAACATCATGGCCTCCCGGCTATGGCCTTTGATTAGCTGCCACTATGCCAGTGACATGCTCTGTTCTCTCTTGTACCGGGTTCTTCTTCTCTAGGTCCCAGGGTGCTTTAGAAGCAAAAGCTTAAACGGGACCACAAGGGTCCTCTAGTCTAGCCTCCCACTGATATAATTACAAAGGGCCACCCTATTGTCTCCATGTCACAGAGGGGGAAACAGAGCAAAAGAGAGAGAAGCATCTTGCTCCCAGGCATCCAATGAGTCCATTTCCGAACCAGGAATAGAACCCAGATCTCTGGACTCCCAACCCCACAGCTTTCTACAGGCTGGCCGGCCGCTTGGAACCTGACTGGTCCCGGAGGAGGGATTTTGCGGGACCAGGCGAGGTCATTTCTGGCCCCTCTGCTTCCTGCCCCCTGGCTGCCCCTCCCAGCCCAGCTGGGTTGCATGCCAGGGTTCCTACCCCCATCCAGCTGGGCTCCACACCGGCTTCCCCTGGCCCTTCCCCTCGCAGCCCAGCTAAGCCATGTCCCGGCCTTCCCAGCCCCCTTCCTTGGCCCAGCTGGGCTGCACGCCTGGCTCCCTTCCCCACCTCTGCCTCAGGCTGGCCTCCTGGGCTCCCTTTGCCCCCCGCAGCACGCTAGGACTCTCTGATGCTGCCCGACCAGAGTATCCCAGTTGACAGAGTTGCAACCTGTCCTTGAGCACCCTGCTTTCCCGAGAGCCGTATAAGGGAAGAACAGAGCATGGACACTTATTCCTTGTGCTCGAATGCAGTGAGGGTAGCCACTTGTCTGCAGCAGGAGGGCGCCCTTGCGGCGGCGTATGTGCTGCACATGGAGGCTGTGCCAAAGACAGAGAAACACCCGGCTGGCCAGCAGGAGGGCGCCCTTGCGGCGGCGTACGTGCCGCACATGGAGGCTGTGCCAAAGACACAGAGAAACACCCGGCTGGCCACGTTTCCGAGGGAGGATAGAATTTGCAGCCCTCCTTTTATAAGGTGGGAAAGCCAAGACACACGAGGATGGCGGGTGCCAGAGGCCGTGCGACTACACGACAAGGGAAGTGACGCACGTGCAGCGGGAAGGCACTAAAGGCCCATTTCACCTTGCGCCCCCGACACCATGGCCACCTCCCGTGCGACTGAGGCCCCCGGAGTCCGTCAATGGGACCAGGGAATTGCAAAGCACGAATTCTGTTCCTCTTGCCAGCCCTGCTCCCATCTCGAGTTCTCCGCGCTCCCTTTGCCTCTCCTTCCTGCACCTGGGGCTCCAGATCTGCCTCCAGCCTGTCCATAACACCCCCTACTGATGTGTCAAATAGCTTCCCCCATGGGCCAGGAGCTTCAGGGGGGAGCCGAGTTAGTCTGTTACAGGAAAAACACAACAAATGGTCTGGTAGCACTTTACAGACTAATGAAACATGTGGATGGTAGCAAATCGTACTGTAAAACCCTCTTCTCGGCCAGCCCCCAGCTCCAGTCTGGTGTTATTCACAACAATAATCCCCAGATAATCAGCCAGGAGCCTCGTGAACAACACTCCCTTCACAAGCCTTGTAAGTATCACTCCCTTTGCCCTCAGGAGCAATTTTACCTTCCCCCTTCGTTTCTCGCCCTTTCCTCTCCCCATGGTTTCCTGTCATCTCTCATTATCTTATTTCTCTCATTTGGATTGCAAATGCCCCCGGGGAGAAATCTTCTTGGTTAGTCTGTAAAATGTCTAGCACCTGACTGGCACTGTAGGATCGGATCAGTAAGAACGCTCAAGAATTGAAGTTCCATGGGTCAGTATGCAAAAGAGGCATCTCCTTATCGCCTGTTAGCTAACCCTTGGGAACTAGCAAGAGGTGCAAGCGGAAGGAATGTTTTTTGTAGGTTTCATGGGACTGAGCAGGCAGCGTCCCTGTGTAAGGAACACTTGGGCGACCACCCAGGAGAGATTCAGGTGCCACCCAGCGGATTAGCAGAGCATCCATAGCACCCAGAGAGGGCAGCATGCGTTTCTATTGGTGGTGCACATCCCCACATGCCTTGGTGTGCATAACAAAATGTATTCCGCCCACGGATGGAAAAAATTACAGGGAACACTGTGAGTAGGTTGAGACAAACTCTGTTTCCCATGATCTCTGCCTTCCCATTCATGTTAAAGATGCAAAATGCCTTGTCTTCCTTTTACTTCACATTAGTTACCATATGGCAACTGCCACTTTTTTTCCCTAGTGAAAATGCTCATATAGACAGGCTTCAGTTTTTTGCAGGTTTAAGGGAACAGATGTAAACCAAACTGAAGCAAACCTGGTTTAAACCCAAATCCACACTGTGGTTGGCACCAGTTTAACTAAACCAGTTCTAAAAAACATTTGAAGTCCAACTGGTGCAACTCCCATATGAGACAAGGCTGAAAGGGGATGTGTGTGATTGTGCTGTGTGTAGTCTGGGGCGATTAAAACCTACCCACTTGTCTCTTTTGCCTTTCCCGATTGCTGGCAGCAGTCCAAACTGCCAATCCACGATGGCTTACAAGGGAGAGGAGGGGAAGTTTCACTTACCTCATCCAGTTTGGTTTGGTGGCAAGGAAAAGAGAAAGTGAATCCAAGGGGCAGTTTCTTGTCCTTCATGTTCAGTTTCTCCAGGAAGTTGGCCAAGCATTCGGCAATATGATCAAAGAGCTGCAGAATAGAAATTAGACTGTTCAGACCCTATGTCGTTCCAACCTAGTCAGCTTAAGGGCGCCCGGCACCCACTGGAGTCAGCGGGCGTGTTTCCACCGACTTCAGCGCACTTAGATCAGGTCCTGACAGCACAACGTTAGGTCAGGCTCATTTCAAAACCATGAGCATTGGATGCTCTAAGCCAGGGCTACTCAACTTTGGAAGCCCTGGGGGACACAATGGATACTCACAGCACATGCTGAGGGCTGCACCTTAAGTGTGGTTGCATAGACATGCAAATATATGCAAATAGCTTCTTTCACACTGATGGGCATGAATACAAAAACTAAACCACAGCGCTGGACCCAAACATGACCAGTGTGAGTCAGTCAGCACCTCAGGCTCTGCCCACAAAGCCAAGCAGCCAGCACTTCCCACAGTACCCCCGGGGGAGAGAAATGCCAACAACATGTACCCATCTGTTCCAGCCAGCCCGTCCGCTTTAATTGGTCATTGCTCACCCCGCCTGGGAGACGCCTTGCCTTTGTGGAGGCCATGTTCAAAGGATCCTACTCAGGTTCAGTTTGTGGAGGCCATGTTCAAAGGATCCTACCCGGGTTCAGTTCTGTGTAAACCCAAACTGCACCGCGGGCCGCAAACAAACAGGCGGTGGGCCACATGCAGCCCACGGGCCATGTGTTTAGTAGCCCTGCTCTAATCCATCGGGTGCCATCGACTGTCTTTCACTGGCCCACATCACTCGCCTTCTCCACCAAGAAAGGAAACCGAGGCAACTTTTGTGGGTGTTCTCTGGAAAAGTCTGTATTCTTGATTTTAACTGGGTTTGGTATTTTGGGACTTAATAGAACACATCGTACTAAACCTCCAAATAATTATTAAGACTCTTTTGCAAGGTGCCCAATACCATGGTGTCTGGGTGCAGTTTGCTTAGTTTCAAATAAATCCCATGGGTGTCTTCTCCGGATCAGCCTTGTGGGGAAAGGAATTGGATATCATGTCATGGTTAAGGCAGGGGATCTGAGAGTTCTTAGTTCTGCTGGGGACTCTGCAAGTTTTGACAAGTCACTTCCCCTTTGCACCTCAGTGCATGCTCTGTGACAGCAGGGGTAGAGCGAACTAATTCTTTATTATATGCTTGGAGATCTTCAAACCTGGGGTGTTAGAGAGCAAAACATCAGGATTTCCTTGATAGTTCAGGATGGTCCAGAACTTTGATGAAGAAAAAAAAACCTCTCTTATTTGGTTCTTTAGACCTTGACTGCAGGGAGGCTTTGTAATGAAATTCACTAAGATATGTTAACACAACAAATCTAGCTAAGATTTAGTTATTTCCTCCCCAAACCAAAGTTTGGAAGGGTAGCTCATTTAAGCAGTTGCTGCTGGAGCAAGCCCCTAACAGACAAAACAAACGATTTGTAGTAGTGTATCGAACTCTGGTGTCAAGCAGGGGTCAGGGCCAGGATGCAATTTGTCTATCTGCACATAGGCCATGGTGGGTAGCTGGAATGGACAAATTCCCAACACAGACAAGGATCTGAATCACCCAAGCTGACCATGGCTCAATCCTCAATATCCTAAGTTTTCAGCAAAGAACAGCACTGAATCCAGTTTCCTCAGCTCTTTAGTTCAAGGCAGTTTCCCCCCCTCTTACCACACTGTAAACGCCCAACAGAGACGAACCTCAAGGCATCGACGTTCCTCTACAAGGGATTGTAATAGGCTACAGTTGCCTCCTCCCCACAAGGCTTTCGAAATGCAAAGACAGATGATGCCAGCTTGTCTTCAAGTGGTATAAAGCAGAGGAAATACTCCTTAGGACTATCACACAAAAAAGGGAGGGATCTTAACATCCCTCTTAGCAACCATTTCAGGGACACAACACCTTGAACCACCTTGATTGATCAGACCTCATATAGGTTGTGCCGATCACAACAGGTCTTCAGTTCTTCTCTCATCTACTGGTATTTTTTTCCCATTTGCATTTGTGTTAAGCCAAAATCACCACCACAACGGGAAGGGGGGGGGAGTCATACAATGTGTTTCATCACCTGCCAACCTTTATATTTCACACTTATATAGCTCTCTCTCTCTCTCTCTCTCTCCTCATCTCAAAACACTTGATTAATGTAGGTATCATTACATTCATAGAATCATAGAGCTGGAAGAGACCTTAGAAGGCCATCAAGTCCAGCCCCCTGCCCAAGGCAGGACCAATCCCAACTAAATCAACCTAACCAGGGCTTTGTCAAGCCGAGACTTAAACACCTCTAGGGATGGAGATTCCACTACTTCCCTAGGTAACCCATTCCAGTGCTTCACCACCTTCCTAGGGAAATAGTTTTTCCTAATATCCAACCTGGACCTCTCCCACCGCAACTTGAGACCATTGCTCCTTGTCTGCTATCAAATCCCTCCACACTCTTCTCTTCTTCAGACTAAATAGACCCAGCTCCCTCAGCCTCTCCTCGTAGGTCATGTGCTCCAGCCCCCTAATCATTTTGGTTGCCCTATGCTGGACCCTCTCCAATACATCCACATCCTTCCTGTAATTGGGGGCCCAGAACTGGACACAATACTCCAGATGTGGCCTCACCAGAGACGAGTAAAAAAGTCAAAGGGGGAAACTGAGGCACAGGGCAGGGACGAGACTAGCAGGTTAATGGCAGAGGAGACGACAAAACTCGGGTGTGCTGCCGACTCCCAACATCCTTCATTCCCATCCATCAGTATCTTGCAATGATACTGCAGTTTCCTTGCTCCACTCAGGGCCCTCGATCGAGTGCAAACATGTCTCATACAAAGCTTCCGCGGATTAATTCTGAGCACGTGTCTTCCCAGCACCCGCTCGGGGTCACCCCTTCACATGGAGGGCGCGAGAGATCTCCCTGGGCAAGAAAGGAGCCATTGATTAATGCGTCTCACCAACCAGAAGAGAGCATCTTTCCCCTGCGTTTCCCTATGGCAAATTCCCTGGGCAAGAAAGGAGCCATTGATTCCTGCTTCTCACCAACCAGAGGAGAGCATCTTTCCCCTGCGTCTCCCTACGGCAAACATGATGCTGAGAGACATGTGAACGGATGGGGAGTAGAGTGGGGGAAGGGGCTCTTATGTAAGATTTAAACTGGGATTAGGCACTGTGGGGAGGATGGGATCAGAGGGGTATTAGAGCTACGTGGCTCTCTTGATTTCTGTCCTTTCAGTGCTGGCAGACCAGCACACCACCCTAACTAGGGCCAAGATTTTTAGCAACTGGCCATTTTGAATGAACAACACCCTTTAAGGGGACTATTTTCCAGAAAGTGTCAAGGATCTGCCCCTCTGAAAACAAGGCCCCGTTACCGGATCTTCTAAGCCCAATTTGAGACCACGGCAGCCATGCTGACACGAAGGGGATCTGCCCCTCTGAAAACAAGGCCCCCTTACCAGATCTTCTATGCCCAATTTGAGACCACAGCAGCCAAGCTGACACAAGGAAAAAAGGTGCATTTAACATGCATTAGAAATCCCTAATGGAGAGGGTGCAAGTTGTAGTTTGAAGTAAGGATGTTAAGGACTAGTAGACTATTCGATAAGCAAATAAGAGGCAGCAAAGGGGAGGAGGAGGAAGGGTACATCAAAGTGGCAGCACCGCATGGAGCCGGGGTCAGCTGGGGAGTCCCCAGCTGATCCTGGCTCCACATGGCATTTCAAAGTGGCAGCGCAGCATGGAGTCCAGGGGCAGGGAAGTCCCGTTGACCCCAGACTCCATGCTGCGCTGCCACTTTGAAATGCACAAGAGCCCCCACTGGGGCTCTTGCACATTTCAAAGGAGGAAGGCAGAAGTGCCTATCAACTAGTCGAGGGAAATTCCGTTGCCTATTCGGCTAGTAAATTAATCAATATTTAACATCCATTGTTTGAACATGTTAGTGGTGAACACGGGTGTAAATACCTACCAGCTAACGCATGTTAAAATGCAAACTGGCCTGTTTACACTAGGGTCAAGCGTAGTCACCTTTAGGCCTAGCGAAGTCCGGGCCCAAGAGACCTAAAATCATTAGTGGCTTGTAAAAGTCTTGGCCTTTACACTTACGCAGAGCGTGGCTTGCTTCCTGCTCAAATACCCAGCACAGTCAAAGGGCACGGCAGGCTGAGCGCTCGGAAACAAAAGCGTTATGCGTGGCTGGAGGAAAAGAGGGAGGGAGGTTAGACCTACCTGTACCCCGCTCCCACGCATGAGTTCCTCTGGTATGGCATAGATCTGATTCTCCATTTCTACCTTCCGCAGGCCGTTATCAGACACCTTCACTCTCAGCACACGGAAGTTTGTGCCGCCGAGATCCAAGGCCAAGAAGTCTCCATTCTCTGCCGGTGCAAAGAGAGAAGAATGGCTCGTGAGAGGCCTCTGGTTTTATTGACACACATACACCTGCCTTTGAAATGGAGCTACAAAAAGGCTGCCTGCTTATACGGGCTGGACTGGACCGCTGCCAGCAGTAGCATTATTGTCCTGCCACCCCAACTCTGGCCAACATGGTCAGTCAGCTCCACCCCAGAAACAGGCACAGTCCAGGAAGGGCTGAAGGAGCCACTGGTCTGGTCAGATCCCAATGACCTGGCCCTGAATGGTGCTTTAAGCTGCAAAACTGCTCTCACAAAAGGGTAAAGGCTGTACTGCCAATGAGTTAATCCCTGTCCTCAGCATGGCTAATCTCACCCTCCATTGGGTGGGAGAGGGTGAAAATTAACCTCTCAGGAATAAATCTGACCATCTATCCAGGGACCCCTTCAACCACTGCTAAAATGCAACCAGCTCTGGGGTGGAGCAAGAGCAACTTGCACAAAGTCATGGGAGAACTCTGGGCTGTGACATAAATAACTCCTACAGAATTACAAGATTTTCTGTGGCCACATCGAGCAGACAGCAACACTGTTCTCAAGACAGAGGCACCGTGGTGTTAGTTAGAGCAGAGGAACCAGGCCAGGAGACCAAATGACGTTCCCGGCCTTTTCCCGCCTTGCTGCATGGCCTCAGGAGAGCCACTCACGCTCCCTGCCAAGCCAAGCCAACGCGGTTTCAAAACTAATTCTTACCGCATGAGGCGCTTTCCCTTCCAGCCAAAGAGAATGTGGCAAAAGCTCCAGTAGGAAATAAAACACCCTTAAATGTTTTCCCTTTTATTTCTTTGCTCCGCCAACACTCTTTAACCAGCAACGTGCCAGGGAACAGAACCAGTTTAATAAGCCACTTGCTGAGTCATCACAAGCTGCCTCTGGCATTCCTACCCATTCAGGGGACCAGCTTCAAAGCAGGCCTTTTCTGAAGGGAGGATTTTGAAATGTAAATATGCCAGACTGAGGGACAGCAGAGGGACAGAATGGAAAGGCGCCTCTGAAGTATCACAGGACTGCATCAACCCGCTAGGGCAAACGTTGAAAATACAGGGCTCCATTCTCCCCTCACCTACGCTGGGATAAAACCAGCACAACCCCAGTTGCTAACAGGGAAAAGTGGAGGAATAGCACAGTAGCAGCTCTGTGGGCCCTGCACCACAGGCCCCGTCTGAAGCCTGAACTAAAGTAGCGCTCAAGCCTTGCTAATATAAAGCAAAGTTAGCAAGAAACAGGTTGCTACCCCTCCTACAATGGCCAGGAGTCTACCAGAATCAGCATCGATCTTCCAGCATCTACTGAAAGCAATCTGGGAGGTTTTAATGGGATTTTTTTTAAATGACATTATATCATGTTGGGAACATAACAATGACTATATTGGGTCAGACCAAAGGTCCATCTAGCCCGGTATGCTGTCTTCTGACAGTAGGCAATGCCAGATGCCCCAGAGGAAATGAACAGAACAAGGAATCCTCAAGTAATCCCTCCCCTGTCACCCATTTCCAGCCTTTGATAAACAGGCTAGGGACACCATTCCTGCCCATCCTGTCTAATAAGCACTTATGGATCTAACTTCCATTCTGAATTTAACTACTTCTTTTTTGAACCCTGTGATAGTTTTGGCCTTCACAACATCCTTTGGCAAGGAGTTCCACAGGTTGACTGTGCACTGCATGAAGAAAAACTTCCTTTTTTTTTGTTTTAAATCTGCTACCTATTCATTTCATTTGGTGACCCCTAGTTCTTATATTATGGGAACAAGTAAATAACTTTTCCTCATTCACTTTCTGCATCCCTGACATAATTTTCTAGACCTCTATCATATCCCCCCCTTAGTCTTTTTTAAGATGAGGCGACCACATCTGTACGTAGCATTATAGGGAAAAAATATCTCCTGGAATAGCTTCAGTGTTAGCGTTAGCAAGCCTAGACAGAAGTCAGGCTCTCCACAGGTTCCGGGAGCATTTGTACTTGACACAATAAACCTGTGCCACTCTTATCACGGCTATACTACTATTCTTAGCAGGCTGCTTTGAAGCCCTGCTTCAAGTGTAGACGTAACCTAAGATTATGGGCCAGTCAGATCCTGTAGCAATGCGGGACCAGAAAACAATGCAAGGTAGACACACAACTCGAAATCTCAAGGCTGTCTGCAAATCCTTCATCAACAGAGGGATGGGAAATGGCGTAAATCATCTACTATTTGAGAGCAATGTTATCTACCAGCACCGACAAGCAAAGAGGGAAAGTGAATCGAGTTTATCTGCATATTTTGGTTGCCGTTAGTGGAGAGTTGCAACACAAACCCAAGCGAGACAGACTCAGATAACACAGTGTCATTTGGCTTGGTCTGTCAGATTTAGCTTAACACAGTTTCTCTGGAGTATGCCTCCCTTAAATTAATTTGATTTAGGAAGCCTGTTCACCCACCCCCCCGAAGGAGATGGGAAGCGGTCTTTTTTTTTTTTTTTTTTTTTTTTTTTTAAAAAAATTTTTTTTTTTTTTTAGAAAAAAAAATTGAACTTTCTTTTTCCAGACACCATGAGCCACTGCTGAGTTTAGGACAGGTAAGTTTAATGGCAGCATGAGTGGTGGAAGCACCAAGTTTGCTCTCTTAAGTATCTAGCTGTAGGGGAGGGAGGGAGGGAGGAAAAGCCTGCAAATCAGCACTCTGTAATTTGGGAATACATTACAGCTGCTGTGCTGTCTGCTCCAGACAGATCACAGTGCCCAGGGACTGCAAAGGGCCCAATGAGTTAATATTCCAGTGGCACTGGACCGGGGGAGCGAGAGAGATGAAAAAATAAATCAGAATTGAAACAACTGTTTGTTTCCTTAGAGCTGCCCCTCTGCTATCCCTCATCTCCTGATTAAAATACCCTGAGTTTCTAGGAAACTTAAGAACTTGCCACGATCAGACCCCAAGGGGCTAATTTCTTTAAAAATCTCATCTAAACCATCCTTCTGCCTGGCACAAGAGACCCCCAAGCTGCTATGCCGGAGACGACATAAACGCGAACCAGCTCCGTAACTTAGGGCTAAGGGGCGTGCGTGATGCCTCGTGGGACACCAAGGTCAGAGGCCGTGCACTCCCTCGCGACGGATCTGATCTGATCGCTCCCTCTGGGGGCAGGCAGCCTTGTGAGGAAGGTGGCTGGTCTCCAAGGAAAGGAGGAGAAACAGATGCCTAATTCTCAAGGGCACCCTCCAGCCAATCTCACATTAGCCTCCTCAGCAAGCCTGGCAGTGAAAGCTTTGCCCGGACTGCAACTCTCTGGTTCCACCCTAATTAATTACACTCCTATTGCAGGGAGAAAATGCCAAGCTGGTTAGATCACACTGGAATCTCTCAGGAGTAGCCACCCAAGCACACAGCATACAGGGAACACCGGCTAGCACCATTCTCCACCCGAACTAAGTAAACAGGAGCTCGGGCAGCAGCTCAGGAAATCAGCGTTTTTGCTTTGCTTTAAAAATTAATTTTAAAGTTTGTTTTCACTCCATCCTCCCCACCACGCCCCTTGCACAGAACTTTAGAATCCCATGACCGTGCAGATTAAGACCCCCATGGACTCAAATGCAGGTTTGTTGAATTGATCTGGAATATTCAATCTAGTCAGTTTACAAAAAAAAGAGAGAAATTGGAGCCGCTCCAGACTTTGTCCAACATGGAAACAAAGGGGCAGGGTGGGGAGGGAGTACACACCACACCACAGCTTTTTCAATGACTGTTCTGTGCCTGTTACAATCTCTTTGTTGTGAATCCACCAACTACACGCACGGCAGCGATTATTTCATAAAGTTTAGATAGTTCTAGCAAAAGAACCAGGCTCCAAAAAGGACAAGCATTCTAAAAGTCCACACACCTGTGCCAAATGAGGCTGACCCTGTTACAGCAGTAGCCTAATATTGCTTTCATCTCAGTGGGAAACGATAGGGCATAACCCCCGTGTAAATCAGTTCAGAATCAGGCCCAGTAAGCTAAGTAGCTTAACCTGACAAAATAAAAACCTGTCATCAGATGGAAACAACTTGGTTTGGTTCTATCACTGCTGAGTACAGTAAAATACCAGAGATAAAGTTTTATATAGATGGGCCACTCTCTTTCTCTCTCTAAACTATGATATATTTAAAAGCCTTCAAACCCACATGCTGTGACCTATTTTTTCCAGGTCGGGCAATCACTCAGTTCTCCCACCTACTTCAGTTGTGATGGGTGCTCTGCACTCCAGGGCTATGTCTACACTGGCGCGATCTTGCGCCAGAGAGATGCAAATGAGGCTAAGCGTGGAATAGTACCGAGACTCATTTGCATATCTAATGAGCCGCCATTTTTCCTGAAAATAATCAGCGTAGCGGCATTGCGCAAGAGGGTTTTTCTTGCGCAAGAAGGGGCAGTGTAGACAGCTCCTTCGGGAGCAAGAGCCTCTTCCGGAAAAATGGCGGCTCATTAGACATGCAAATGAGGCTCGGCGATATTCCACACAGCCTCATTTGCAGAGCTCTGGCGCAAGATCGCGCCAGTGTAGACATAGCCCGGGGGGGGGACGGCTGAGGTTTTCAAAAGATCCTCAGAGTGTTAGCTACCTACGGTGGTGCACTGATTTTCAAGGAGAGATTTGGGTCTCTCACTCCTTTAGACTTCTTTGAAAATCCTCATCTAAATACACTGATCTACTTAGGGATTTAGGCAATTTATATATTGTACTAATCTAACTCCTATGTGGTCCTTACACTGAGGTGTATATGCGCTGAGGTTTTCAAAAGATCCTCAGAGTGTTAGCTACCTACGGTGGTGCACTGATTTTCAAGGAGAGATTTGGGTCTCTCACTCCTTTAGACTTCTTTGAAAATCCTCATCTAAATACACTGATCTACTTAGGGATTTAGGCAATTTATATATTGTACTAATCTAACTCCTATGTGGTCCTTACACTGAGGTGTATATGCAATGGAGTATCTATCGGGGGGGGTGGAACTTTTTTGGTTCAGAGGCCACATGACCCACAGAAAAATCAGTCAGGGGCCGTACACAGGTGAGAAGCAAAAACACCAAACCCTCACTGACGTGGCCCCTGACAGAAGGACACTCCCCTCGCACTCTAGAGCCGGGGGAGGGGGATCCAGGCTAGTAGATTTTGTGGGCCGGTCTGAGGTGGGGCAGGAGCACCCGCATGGGCTTCCCAATACTGGGAGGAGGAGCCCTGAGCTTCAGGGGCCAGATCCAGGGAAGCTGGGGGCTGCATCCCTGCTCTTGGGTAACATGCAGAAGGATGTAATGGTAAGAAGAAATATCTTCCCAAAGAAAGTGACCTTTCAGAATCCCATCCCTCAGGGCAAAGCAAAGGCTCAAAACATCCCAGTGGCCTGGCTACCCCAGATGTCAAAGGAAAGGAAAACAACGGACTGGCGAGGGACCTGAACGGCCTGCGCTGTTTGGAAAAGAAACCCGACCTCTGGAGATTAAAAGCTGGTAGCGGAACGTCCCCGTCTGCAGCAGGACTATGAAGGTCTATGCAAGAAGACACAGGGACGGGGTCTCCTCTCGCTTACTCCACAGCGCGAGTTAGAAGAAACTGTACTGAAGTCAGGGAGAGTAGAACGGGGGAGAACAGGAGGGATTCGGTGCTGCTACAGGCAAGAGGCATGTGCCTGGCTTTGAGGAGCCATTTCACTTACTGAAAAAGGTGTGGCATACCGTGGTTACGCAAGCCGGGATACTGCACCCTCCTGATTAACACTTCCTCTATTTCAGGCCAGCAGAACCCAAGCTGTGTCAGAGAGAGACCTGCAGGAGGAGGAAATGGGCAAACGACACCCCCACATTCAAGCCCAGTCGGAGCTCGCTCTAAGCGCCAGGGGGAAAACCCATGGTGGTGGCACAAAGCCGAGAGGCACATTTAGCTCAGACTCCACTTTCATGTGTCACATGATTTGCCTGAGGTTCCTTTTCTGTCTTGCAGCACGTTGTTAAAACTCGACCCGCCACAGGAGCAGTCGCAATCAGCGTTTCAGTTAACCCCTCCGGTAGCAACCAGTCCACGTGCGTGGCAGAAGCCAGCTTATAATATTCTTCTTCTGGGCACACAGAATGGCTGCTGGCTCAGATTCAGCGCACACATCCCAAAAGCCCCCTGTATTGGCAGCTGGTCCTACAGCATTCGGAGCAAATCACAGCTGCCTAGAGGAGCAGTAACAGTTCCAATTTTTCTCCCTCCTCCTTGTAACACCCTTTTAAATACCTGAAAACCGCTCTCATGTCCCCTCTCAGCCTTCCCCTTTCCAAACTAAACAAGTCCAATTCTTTCAGTCTTCCTTCATAGCTCATGTTCTCTAGACTTTTAACCATTTTTGTTGCTCTTCCTGGACCTTCTCTAATTTCTCCATGTCTTTCTTGAAATGTGGCGCCCAGAACTGGACACAATACTCCAACTGAGGCCTAATCAGCGCAGAGTAGAATGGAAGAATGACTTTTCGTGTCTTGCTCACAACACTCCTGTCCGTGCAGCCCAGAATCATGTTTGCTTTCTTTGCAACAGCATCACACTGTTGACTCCTATTTAGCTTGTGGTCCACTATGACCCCTAGATCCCTTTCTGCAGTACTTCTAGTCAGTCACGTCCCAGTCTCTGTGTGTGAAACTGATTGTGCCTTCCTAAGTGGAGTACTTTGCATTTGTCCTTCTTAAACATCATCCTGTTGAGCTCAGACCCATTCTCCAGTTTGTGCAGATCATTTTGAATTATGACCCTATCTTCTAAAGCAATTGCAACTCCTCCCAGCTTCATATCGCCTGCAAACTTAGTAAGTGTACTCTCTATGCCAATATCTAAATCGCCCTTCGCTTCTCCCTAACGTAAGCCTCTCTGTGCTCTTTCAAGGAACAATCAACTCCCACACCCCGTTCCCATGCAGTCATTTATCTAGAAACGTTACTAACAAACACATTAGCACAGCTGCCACTCTCACTGTAGGCTAGCGCCCACCGGCTCCAACCAAGATCAAAGCCCAACCATGCACCTGTATGACCCTGTCACTTGTCCTGAAGGACTTTGATTCTAACAGTGATACGTTCCCTCTATCTTATCTTTCGATCTGCATAGTCTCCTTGTGATAGATTAATCACATAAAAAATGCCCTTGATTTTTATCTGAACGATACTGGTACAAAGAGGTGGCCAGATCACGCCAGGTCTTGAGAGCTTTCTGATCCTCGCAAGGCTTTCAAAACTAGAAGCACTCAGTACTTTGCAGGATCAATCCCCTAAACTGTAAATGGAGGCAGTGTATCCTAGCGGACAGAGCTCTGGCTTGGGGCTCAGAAGACCAAGGTTCTGCTCAGAGATCTCCTGCTAACCTGTTGGGTGACCCTGGGCAAGTCATATCCCCTCTCTGTACCTCAATTTTTCCATCTGTAAAATGGGAATAATGAAACTGCCCTCCTTTGTAAAGCACTTTGAGATCTACTGAGGAAAAGTACCGAGTAACAGCTCAGTGTTATTCTTATTTTTAAGGTGTTCCTGGGCCTAATTCTCCACTCCCACTGAACCAGTTTCACACCAAAATAAAATCTACTGCATCTACACTGACAACAAACTGATGTAGTCAAATTAACAATCAGATCTGGCATCAAGCATTGACTATATTTACCAGGTGGCTGCTCCTCTGTCTAGTGGCCAACCTAGAACTGGGATCTTCTTCGCCAGGATCCCAGCTTTCATCCTTCAATCTGCCTGGTATTTGCAAAGCAACTCCAGCGTCTGTACGAGGCATTTGGAATATGGAGGACAGACATGCATGCTGGGAAGAGACCTGGAAGGATCCAATCCCAAGTCTCCTAGCCAAAAGACTGTAGCTTGTGCCTCTCTCACAAAGCCAGAACTTTCTTTGCCAGGCAGTTAGCAGCGCCTTTTCGGACGTCTCTCAGGACCTCAACCCCAGCTGATGTAATTATGCCTGGCCCAGAATGCTTTACAGAGACGTTACACCAGCAAATCAGCTTTAAATATCAAACTGGTGACTGCACAAAGATTGTCAGGAGTAGAGGGAACGTAATCAGCTGGGAGAACAGAACACTCAGCCACGGGAGGAAATCCTGGGGAGTGGGGGTTTTCCAGCTACGGGTCGCACCCCAGGACTGGCTCAATGGGGGTCTCATTACTGCAGGGGGATCAGGTGGACAATGCGGGGGATAAGGCAGCTTCCTGTCTGTCCTGGTACTGCAGACTGTGCTGCACCCCAGAAGCAGCCAGTAGCAGGCCCAGCTCCTATGGGGGCGGGAGGGAGAGCGCTCAGAGCTGTGCACTGCCCGTGCCCGGAGCACTAGCTCCTCACTCCCATTGGCTGGGAACATGCTGCCAGCTGCTTCTGGGGTGCAGTATGGTCTGCGGTGCCAGGAGATGCAGGAAGCTGCCTTAGTCCCCCTGCTGCACTGCTGACTGGGAGCTGCTCGAGGGAATGGGAGCTGCTCGAGGTAAGCCCCTCCTGCCCCAGCCCTTCCCCCCCCAAAGCCAGAGCCCCCTCCTACCCCCCAAAGCTCTCACCCTCAGCCCCACTCCCAAGCCTGCACTCCAGTCACATGATGTTGGGTCGTGGGGCACCAACGATTTTCCTCAACTGGGTCACGAGAAAAAGAAGTTTGAAAGCCGCTGCTGCAAAGGAGTTTGGTGCATCGGTCTAGATTCTTGTACCAACACTCACTGCAGTAGCCGAGCACTTTCTGGGCACTCCTACGTAGCATCGTGGCTAGTGAGAAACAGTCCGTTAAAAGGTTTGACTGTGACTTCATAGTACCAGGAGCGAAGGTTTCATGGTGCCCCTCAGAGGCCAGTTACCCTGCTGGCAAGCGACCGTTCTTGTTAAAGCACCAGTGAGCTGCCTTTTCAGATGCTACCGAAGCCCCTTGTGTTCACCCAGGAATGAGCATTCTCTGCTTGCCCGCCCCAGGTGATGTTGGGAGTAACTCCCTTCAAGTCGAGAGAGTTACACCAGCAGGGCAAGTGAGAGGAGACCCAATTCAAACACAACCGGAGGACCAAACCAGCGGGAGCAGGGTGTAGAGAGGGACGCATAAGCCACGGGAGAGCGTGTTCCTCCTTCCACCACCCCCACCCCCATTGTAGGTAGAACAAGCGATTCTTTGCCGCAGGTTACCTGTTCCGTCTGGGGTGGATCTCACAAACGAGGGCAACATTTTCACCGACGCTGTGGGGTTGGTGTCTGTGCCGAGACCCTTCTCCATCTCCTTTCGGAAGCGCTGCGAGATATCCTGCAGGGTTTCATCGGAGAGCCGCATGTGGTAGAGGTATTTGTCAATCTGAAAGGGGCAGAGAAGCCAGGTTAGCGCGGGGTTCGGAAATTGTGCCGTTCCCATGAGGACTTTACCCAATCCCGGGTGATCGGTGGGGACCGAACCAGAGACCTTCAGCCGCAGTGCACAGGCCTCTCAACAAAGCAAACGCAGCAACTCTAGGAGCTGCTGTAGGAGCCAGCCACTGGTGCGGGACAGGACTCACTCAGTCAGCACGTTGCATTTCCAAACAGACACAGCACAGCGTCTGAAAAGCAGCAGACCCAGCAACATCTCAGCTCATATCACAGCTAACGCTTGTCTGCTGAAACTTAGTCACTACAGAGAGAATGCCTGGTGCATCCCACCTGCCTCCCTCACAGCACTTCTCACATTAGGAGGTAAGCCTCCCCACCGACAGGCAGGTCAGGTTGATCCCCTGGCACGGGGGGAAACCGAGGCACGCAGCCGCATGGTCTGATCTGCAGAATGGCTAAGCACCTCATCGCTCTCATCCACATGACACTGGTGTGTCTGTCGCTCAGCGCCTCTGACACAAGTCAGGCTGCGTATCACTTGTCTGATCGCAAAGAAAAATGGAGGCAAAAAGTGAATCCAAGAGCCTCAACTGCCCAGCCAATGCTCCCAAGACTCATCGTGGTAAGGCCTGTGAAAGCAACCAGGAGGTCCATCTCTGGGGCGTGGGTTTTATATGTTTCAGCAGAGCAGAGGATAGGCAGGGTGAGCTGCTGGGAAGGACAAAGTCTGTGGCCGAGTTTGCATCAGCCCCTTTCCCTCAGGGCTTTTTTATTCAATGCTAATAAAGCAGTCAGAGTCCCACATCTCAACCCCGTCTTTTCCTCCACCCTAGAACAATGTACTGTCACTCACAGCCCCTCAATGCCCCTCCCCCCATTGAAAACACCTCGCCAATTTAATTACTTGGTTTCAACTAGGAGGCTGTGTCTACACTGGGCCACTTATTCCGGAAAAGCAGCCACTTTTCTGGAATAACTTGCCAGCTGTTTACACTGGCCGCTTGCTTTTCTGGAAAAGCAATGACGATCTACTGTAAAATTGTCAGTGTTTTTCCAGAAAAACTATGCTGCTCCTGTTCGGGCAAAAGTCCTTTTCCGGAAAAACTATTCCGGAAAAGGGCCGGTGTAGACAGCACAGTAGTCTTTTCCGCAAAAAAGCCCCGATCGCGAAAATGACGATCGGGGCTCTTTTCCGGAAAAGCGCGTCTACATTGGCCACGGACGCTTTTCCAGAAAAAAGTGCTTTCCAGAAAAAAGTGCTTTTCCAGAAAAGCATCCTGCCAATGTAGACGCGCTTTTCCGGAAATACTTATAATGGAAAACTGTTCCGTTTTAAGCATTTCCAGAAAAGGGTGCCAATGTAGACACAGCTGGGATGTAAAAGAGTAGTGGAGTCTACTGCTTGCTTCCCCCCCTTGCTGCCTCTGTCTCCATGGTTCTGCCTCCCCCCACTACAGCAAACAGCCTGGCCAATCTGACTTCCAAAAGCAGGCATGCTTCCTGTTCTGGCTTCTGACTTTCCAGTGGGTGGAAACATCCGGGTGGAGACAGGCAGGCCCAGAGCCTAGATCCTGGACTCCTGCGGGAGGTGAATTTGGGCATGTGCTCCAGTAGGGTGGAAACACTGCAGACTTCAAAGCCGGCAGGCGCCTTTTGCTGTTCATGCCGTTGACACAAGGGCAGGGGACACAATGTCATTTCTGCGCCCGGAGCTACACGCCGGAGGAATGAAGGGATTGTGCCAATCCTGCACCGCGGACTCCTGTGGTTCGTCGCTTGCCGACCCTGAGACGGTCTCCTCCTTGGGAGAAGCCAGCCGAGCAGTAAACTAAGAACAAACTTGGAGGCCACCTTTTCTCTAGCAGGAAGATTTCACGCGGGGCTTTTTCATCATGATGGCTAGAGACAGGCTGCACCTCCAGCCCCCCAACTCCTGCAAATTCATCATCATCACGCCCCGGCCCTCCCTTTGGCAAGAATCTCCCGCTGTTTGGGGCAGCCCCGTAAAGCTGCCCTCTTCGGGGGACAGCCCCGGCTTCCCAAACCACAGTATTTATTTTTCCTCACTTCAC